GTGAAGCGCTGTCCAATCAACTTTGCTGCATTTGGCTGAATCTGAGCTGACAGCATATCTCTAATAACTGCTTCTGTCACATCATCAATGAACATCAATGACCCAGTGCCACTGGAAGCCATGCATGCCTATGCAATCACACTGCCTCCACCATGTTTTACAGATGACGTTGTGTGCTTTGGACCATGAGCTGTTTCAAGCCTTCTCCACACTTTTTTTTTTCCCGTCAATCTGGTACAGATTAACCTTCGTTTCATCTGTCCAAAGAATGCTTTTCCAGAACTGGTCTGGCTTTTTAGATGTTTTTTGACAAAGTCTAATCTGGCTTTTCTATTCTTTAGGTTTATGAATGGTTTGCACCTTGTGGTGAACCCTCTGTATTTGTTCTTGTGAAGTCTTCTCTTATTTATTTCAGGTACTTGTATAGCGCCGTCAATTTACGCAGCGTTTTACATATATATTATACGTTCACAGCAGCCCTAGCCCTCAAGGGGAATACAATCTAAGGTCCCTAACTCACATTCATATACAAGAGCCAATTTAGACAGGATCCAATTAACCTACCAGCATGTCTTCGGAGTGTGGGAGGAAACCCACGCAAGCTGTGCAGTGGAATAACGTCCTTACAGGATGTCTCCAATTTACAAGCCAACCTCAATGCACTGTTTAACTATGTGGCAAATGAGGTTTAATGTTGATAAATGTAAGGTCATGTATACATACCGGGGGGGGGGGGGGGGGGGGGTACAACTGGGGAATGAATGGTGGAGAAGGATTTGGGAGTTCTGGTAGATCACACATTTACTAATGTCATGCCAAGCTGCAGTTTCTAAAGCGAGCAAAATTTTCTCTTGTATTAAAAGTATAGACTCCAGAGAGATATATTACCTCTGTACAAATTAGTGAGACCATCTGGAATATGCAGTTCAGTTTTGGGCACTAATTCACAAAAAGAATATTGGGGAACTAGAGAAATTACAGAGAAGGGCAACCAAACTGATGAGGCATGGAGAAGCTCAGCTATTCAGAAAGATTAGAGGAACTGAATTTATTCAGTATTGAGAAGAGATTAAGGGGGGATATGATCAACATGTATAAATACATCAGTGGTTCATATGGTGAATAGCTCTCCACCCTGAGGTCATCACAGAGGACAAAGGGGCACTCTTTACATCTGGAGGAAAAGAAATTTAATCTCCAAAACGCAAAAAGGTTTCTTCACTGTGAGAAGTGTGAAAATGTGGAATAGACTCCTCAAGAGTTGGTTCTGGCCAGCTCAGTGAATTGCTTTAAAAAAAAAAAAAAAAAAAGGCCTGGATTCTTAGTATCCAGTTATATTCTGTGTATCTAATATTCCCTGGATCAACTGTACCTATAAATTAGATTGCCTCTCAGGGGATCAGGAAGGCATTTTTTTCCCCTGAAAAAGCAAAATTGGATCATGCTTTGCTGGGTTTTTTTGCCCTCCTCTGGATCAAATGTGGGTGTAGGATTATCACTTTTTTTTTTTATAATGGTTGAACTGGATGGACTTTTGTCTTTTTCAATCAGATTAACTATGTACTGTAACATCTTTGTGGGAAGTTGTATTCTTACAAGAATTTTTGTAACGCTGTTAACCTATTCGTTTTTGATACCAGACTAGCATGCAAAAAATAACAGGTGATCATTCGTCCAATATTCTCTTCATGAGTGCCAAGCTTAAGTGACACAATAGATTGAAAGGAGAAACAATTGCCTTGAGAAACAAAAGTTTTGCAGGTTTTTGTATTAAGGCTCCATGCACACTAGGAGCTGAAAAACCTCTGCTTGTACAGTATTTGAAGCACCCTCCTAGGTTGCTGAGTGTTAGGCAAATTCAGTATGACTCCTCTTTAGGCAGAGGAGCAGGGGTCTGTGCAGTGCTTCACAGATTGCTGGCCTATTACTTCACCCTGTCTTCTGGAGTGTTCCAGAACACAGTGGGAGGGAGAACAGGGCTAGCAGCTTGAAAATCTATGGGATTTCCACTAAACTGGGGAGACAAGCCATAAGCTCTTAATTACTTTGAACTCTGGACTCTCCAAGCTGCCAGGTTACAGGCATCTGGAAGGAACCCCTGTGCTGGGACTGCCACTGCAGCAGAGAGGAAGAGGAGAGCCTCGGGAGACCAGACCAGCTTAAAGGTCTCAGCTAGCTCTAAGGTCTAAGCCAGAGAGTCAGAATGAGCCAAAAGTGGAGGAGGCAGTAATAGATCTGGAGTCCAAGAGCTCCAAATTGGGAGAGAGTACTAAACCAGCCATCACTGAAAGGAGAAGAGACAGTGAAGTACAATACCTCATGAGTCTGGACCAAGTATAGCCCAGAGTGTGCAAGACAGACAGGGGCACACCATTTCTCAATCAGGAACCAGAGCAGCCAGGTGTGGTGCAAGACAGCCAGGTGATGTGTCACCACTCCTTTTTAGCAAAGACTGCTTTTTTTGTACTACTACTCCCATAGCTGTGCTATACAACTTGCATCTTATCACAGAGAGCCAGAGACTTAACAAGTCCACTGTTTTTCCTCTACATGGTTTTACAGTTTGGGGTATCCCATGTACCCCTCCCCATCTAAGTTCATCGTTCCCCAATAAAATACCAAAACCCCTAGACCGATTACCGAGCCAATTGAAAGTGTGCGGAAAATACTGTGTGGGTGCTGTAAGTGGGAAAGTGAGCCCAAAACCAGCAGCTCCTTCGGGGGTAGCAATACATTAGTCTTTAACTGGGCTATGAACAGCTACAATGTCTTGAAAACTTATTCATACACCTTGAAATTTTCCACATTGTCATGTTACAACCAAACATGTAAATGTTTATTGATTTTATGTGATAAACCAACACAAAGTGGCAAATAATTGAAAACTATCATTTTCCTTCCACTTTTCAAATTTTATTACAAATAAATATCTGTGAAGTGTGGCGTGCATTTGTATTCAGCCCCCCTTTACGCTGATACCCCTAACTAAAATCTAGTGAAACCAATTGCTGTCAAAAGTCACCTAATGAGTAAATAGAGTCCACCTGTGTGTAACTTAATCTCAGTATAAATACAGCTGTTCTGTGAAGCACTGAGGTTTGTTAGAGGATATTAGTGAACAAACTGCATCATGAAGGTCAGGGAACACACCAGACAGGTCAGGGATAAATTTGTGGAGAAGTTTAAAAGCAGGCTTAGCTTTAAAAAAAAAAACCCAAGCTTCGAACATCTCACAGAGCACTGTTCAATCCATCATCCAAAAATGGCAGTGTATGGCAAAACTGCAAAACTACCAAGACATGCCCAGCCTGTCAGTTTAGGTGGACTGCCAAGGAGAGAAGCAGCTAAGAGGCCCACGGTAACTTTAGACTGGAACTGCAGAGATCCCAAGCTCAGGTGGGATAATCTGTTCACAGGACAACTATTAGTCGTGCACGCTTCCATAAAGGCCAGATTTGTAGAGTGGCAAGAAGAAAGCCTTTGTTGAAAGAAGCCTGTAAGAAATCCCATTTGCAGTTTGCAAAAAGTTGGTCAGAGTTGATGGGAAGATGGATGGAGCCAAATACAGGGCAATCTTAGAAGAAAATCTATTAATCTGCAAGACTTGAGACAGACTTGAGACTTCCAGCAGGACAGCAACCCTAAATATACATCCAGAGCTACTATGGAATGGTTTAGAATTCAAATCAAAGCATATTCATGTTAGCATGGGCCAGTCATAACCACAGATTCTCAATTGGATTTAGATCTGGACTTTATTTGAAGATTGCTGTTCACAGACACTCTCCATCCAATCTGACAGAGATTAAGCTATTTTGCAAAGAAGAATGGGCAAAAATGTCACTAAATGTGCAAAGCTGGTAGAGACATACCCAAAAGTACTTGCAGCTGTAATTGCAGCCAGAGGTGGTTCTATAAAGTATTGACTCAGGGGGGCTGAATACAAATGCACACCACACTTTTCACATTTGTAAACACATTTTTGAAAACCATTTTCTTCCACTTCACAATTATGTGCCACTTTGTGTTGGTCTAGCACATACAACCAAAAATGTAAATGTATTTTTTGGGATTTTAACATGACATAATGTAGAAAGTTTCAAGGGGTATGAATACACACCAATTAGAGCACTAAAAAGGCAGCCCAGTTTGCCCTGCCACCACCCTTATTCTAAACAGAAAATAGCAGCAGTACTGGAAGACTCCTCTTCCAACACCACATCTTAAAGTAGTAGTAAACTGAAGCTTAAAAAACCCCAAAAAATCCCCTGCAAGGTAATGTATACTAGTACATTATGAAGGACTTTCCTTAAAACGAAGCTCTCCAGCAGTAAGCTGTCACCACTGCAGAGGCTTTCATCTTCATCCGGTCTTCTTTCCAAGGTCATGAGCTCTGGCCGTCTGACTGGCCAAACAACGATGTGGCCAGCATATGCATCCCGGGCCACGGTACAGTGCTCTGAAGGAATGGCACGGGTATGCCGTTCCTCCAGAGTGCATGCCCCAACTCTCAAAAGTGAATATCTCCTAAACAGTGCACATTTAGGAGATTCATTTTACCTACAGGTAAGCTTTATTATAATCTTGTAGGTAAAAGTATAAAGAGTTTACTACCACTTAACTAAAGCCAAATCCCTGCTGAAAAGGATTAACCAACCTAAACTGATGCTTAAGCCCCTTTTTTATGAAAGCAGTACTTGAGTGAACCCAAAACATGATTTTCTTTGGAAAAGTAAAGCATCTAATCCTTTTTTGTATTCATCTTGGCAGGATTTTTAATATAGCTTTATATTGATTGATTAATGGACCATTTTAACAAAACAGCAAAGAGATGGTAAAATATATTTACATAAAGATATTCCCTGAGAAAGCCTTTATTTCTGTAAAGATTTTGTTCACATTCTCTTAATTTGCTATGATACCGTAACACATGGACAGTAAAGATACAAAGCACTGAAAAAACTGAAGAGCAAAATCAGCCAGTATATCCATCATTACTATTAAATGGAGACACTGTTTTCTATCTCACTTGGATCCAGATAGATATAGGGAAGATGCATAGTCTTGTTTCTCTCCTGGATGCATTTGGAGATCTCAGACAGTTGATACTGGAACTTCTTAATGAACTCTTGTGGGGTCTTCTCTGTAAAACGTTCATCAGGGTAATATCCTAGACGCCTCTGAAAAGAAAACATTGCATGATTTTTTTTAATTCATCTGTTCAGTATTAAATAATGACCACATGCTGTAGCAGACCCTGGAAATGCATTTGATTGTCAGGTTCTATTTGACATAGTTCTACAGTTTTTAGGCCCAGGGCATATTTGTGTATTACTTCCCACTACTTCCAGGCACTCACCTTATCCATGGGCTCATTGCTGAGAACCCACACAGAATTTATGCCACCGGTTGTACTGCTTACATCCGGCAATGCCTCCAAAATAGTCTCCATTGTAGTGACACCTTTGGTGCTGGGTGGGGGGCTTTTCATGGTGGTGGGGCCATTAGGCATCCAGGAATAGAAGTCAAACTGCAGAGGAGGCAAACACAAATAAAAAATTTATAGGTTAGGATTCCACAACCTGTACACTAAACATGGGAGTTGCCATTGTTTATGAATGTTGCCTGACCCTTTGGCTTCAATACGTTTTGATCAATTCACCAATAACAATTATAAGAAGGATAGTGAGGAGTCCCTATCTGCACACGTTCTAAGAAAGTGACTGAGGCTCCATGCACACTAGGAGCTTAAAAAAAAAACATTGGATAAAAAGCACTCAATTGCAGCTTTTTTTGCCGGCGTGTTTCAGTTTTTGTGCCTAGTGTTTCTGTGAATAGCAGGTTGTTAAGGAGCGGGTGGCTGCCTTATCCTTAACCGATGACTCACCAGCTGTCAGCGGTATTCCCCACTTACAGCTGAATGTCAACAAAAGAATGCCAGCATTAAAAAAAAAAAAACTGCACGTGGGGTCCCCCCCCCATTTCATAGTAAGCCCTTTGGGTCTGGAACAGATTTTAAGGGTAAGGGGAACCCCATGCCAAAAAAGGTTTTAAAAAGGATGTGCGGTCCCCTGGGTTGTCGGGAAGAGGGTGTGTAATCACGCTGACGAGCCATCAGTTATTAAGGACGCAGAGTCTTGAAGGGGTTGGATTTACTCAAGGCAAATAGACTATCACTTTGCACGTGCAGTTGTGCACTCAGTCTCCCCAGAGCTTAGTGAATGTGGTGAAGCACTGCTGGTTTCCATCATCCAATTATGTGCAAGCAAAATGCTGTGAGGTTTGTTTTTTTCCATGTACCAGATTGGGTATTCTTAACCACTTACCTACCAGGCACTTATACCCCCTTTGGTCCCAAGCCAATTTTCACCTTTCAGTGCTGTAGCACTTTGAATGACAATTGCACAGTCATGCAATGCTATACCCATATTCATTTTTATAATTTTTCACACAAAGCTTCTTTTGGTGGTATTTACTCACCGCTGGGTGTTTTATATTAGATTTATTTAAATTTTGAAAAAAAAATTTTATAATAGAAACAGACATTTTTTTCAAATAGGTAATTTTTCTCCTTCACTGATGTGTGTTGATGAGGCTGCACTGATAGGCAGCACTGATCATCAGGGCTCTGATCATCAGTGCCCTGATGATCAGTGCCGATCCATGCTCTAACAATTGCTGGTTCTCGGAAGTACTTTACTCATGCTGTGACAGTGTGAGGAAAGTGCAGCAGAAACCCGGCAACTGCATTTAAAGGTGATCTGCAGTGACATTGGACACGGCTGATCACGTGGTAAAAGGCTGCTGTGATTGGCCTTTTACCACATCACGTGATCAGCTGTGTCCGTAGGACACAACGTTCACGGAGATTGCTGGGTGCGTGCCCCCGTGAGGGCACGTTCTGGGAGGACGTCATGACATCCTCCCAGAACTAGCTGGTCACGGTGAAGCCGTCATTTGGCTATATGCGGTCGGCAAGTGGTTAACAAAGTAAAGCTTCACCACATTCACTAAGCTCTGGGGAAAATGGATGCAAGTGCACTTGCAACTATTTGCCCCTAGTAAATGTGTTGAAACAAAGTGACAGCCAGGCAACTAACATTTCCAGAATTTTTTTTTTTGGGTAAATGTTTTGGGTCAATGTCCCAAAGCAAATATGCATAAAGTGTCTGTGAAGGCTCTCCTTTACCCAGGTCATGGTATAGCTAGTAGCTGTTAGTCACATTCAACTGTAGCTTACCCAAGGAACTTTTCCAGTTAAGTTCTAATGAGTTTGAGGAAACATACCCTAGAATTTATATCCATAATGCATTCCCTGTATTGGAGTTCTAACTCAGTCCAGTGCTGTACCTGTCAGCAGCAGTTCTGTCCTCTCTCCCTATTCTCACAGGCTTTGCGGAGGAAGCAGGAGGCCACTGTCAAATCCTATGTAGGGGGTGGGGCTATGTTGTCTATGGACGCAGGCAGTGCAGATCTGTATCGAGCCCACACAAGTGTATCCCCAGCAAGCGGCTTGCTATGGGGGCACTTCAAAGGGGGAGGAGGGAGGAGTGCTGGCAGGGGACATGAGAAGAGTACGTTTGAGGTAGACATGTGCACGCTGGAAAATTTGTTTCATTTTACATTCATTAAGTGAAGATTTGTTTTTTGGGATTTGTTTATTTTTTTAGTTTTTGGATATTTTTCCCTCTTCAACTTGATTCAAAATTTTGCAGTTTGAGTTTTCGAAATTTTGTTCAAAAAAAAATGGAAAAAAAAAAAAAAGCGTGGGGTCCTCTTCAAAATCCCAAGACCCTTATCCAAGGATGCAGCCCAGCAGGCCAGGAAGGAAGGGGAAAGGAAGGGGAAAGGAAGATGAGTGCCTCCCTCTGAACCAGGCCACATGCCCTCAAAATGGAAGAGTGCTTTGGGGGAGATGGTCTACCCCCCCCCCCCCTCCCCAGGCACCTTGTTTCCATGTTGATGAGGATAAGGGCCTCTTCCCCACAGCCCTGGTGGTTGTTGGGATGCGGGGGGGGGGGGGGTGACTCCTCAGAATCTGGATGCTCCCTTTAACAAGTTGGCCCCCAGATCCCAGTCCCCCCCCCTCCCCATATTTGAATGAGTATGAGGTACGTATTAACCCTACTCTATCAAAGAAAGTGTGAAAAGTATATAAAAACATTTGACAAGTCCTTTATTAAAAAAACACACAGTGGGACCCTTTCACATGTTCCGCAATGGCCCCCATCCTGCATACAGGTCAACTTTCCCAAAAAGTTTTCAGGGACCCCTTTTTGTTTGCCAAGTGTCCTGTCAGCCATTGTAGGCAGAGCATGTATCTTAACTGGGGGTGGGGCATTTAAAATGGGTGTGGTTCTGTAACAGCCATATAACGTCATACCCCTTTGCATATCTTTACCCCCCCCCCCCCCCCCGCAGATTGCCTCAGAACCCCTCAGCATGCCGCCTCCAAATGCTTGTAACTTGCTAAACTTATTGTGTAGGCAAAAATTACCAACCCAGAATCACCGGTACATAAGGAGAGTACCAGTACTATTATACTCACCTGAGCAGTATTGACAGCTGCATGCTGAGCAGAACATCTGAAGATCACCATTGTCAGGTATTTGATAACAGAATCTTTGGTTGCCAAGAAAGATGGGACTTCTGTCATAAAAGAGAACCACGTTTTAGTGAAAGTGATTTCCTCTGCCAATTTAACATGTAATTGTTCTCGGAAGTCTATGGCACATTTTATATACATGTGCATGCATGATCTGACAAGCTTTCAATAGTTTGCAGGCATAGGATTTGCCTCTAAATGGAAATGCTGTAGAAACAGTTGTTCCTGTTTAGGCAATGGCACAAGGAATAGTGAACACTAACTTCTCAGGGGAAATAATAGCATTTATAATAAAGGTTTTCTAACTTGATTTGGTTAACCCTCCCAGAACAGTCACAAAGGAATGTCTGAAGATGCCCCACAGACTGCTGCATAACCCACTCAATTTCAGTAGACTGAGAAAGTCTGCTATAGACAGTATTGACCAATCAGGGTTCCTCTGAGGTTGCCAGGGGTTCCTTGAACAATGAGCAATTTCTGCTTCTCAGATAAGCAACCACTGACAACAATGATTGTAAGAGGGGAATCTTTCCAATGAACACCAATGTGAGGATTATTCTTCCCATGACCATCACACTAATATACAGTACCATGAACTGTAGATATAATTATTGGCAGGGGTTCCTCTGTGCTAAAAAGGTTGAGAGACTGGTATATTGGAACCGTAATTCAGGAAGTCAGTCAGGCACACACTTTAAAGTGACTGTAGAGGTAATTTGTTTTAAAATAAACATGTTATACTTACCTGTTCTGTGCAATAGTTTTGCATGGAGCAGCCCTGATCCTCCTTTTCTTGGGTCCCCTGCTGGTGCTACTGGCCCACCCCCCCCCCCCCCCCCCCCCGTTGAATGCCCCCCAGCAAGCCAGTTGCTATGGGGGCACTCATGCATGCTTGCTCACAAGCCCCCTCTGTGCCCATAAGAGAGAGCGTAGGTCAGCCCTGCCCCCTCACTAGCTGTGATTGGGAACAGAGGGAGCCAATGACTCCTGCTGCTGTGTCTGAGCCAATGAGGAGAGAGACCTGGGAGAGCCACTGCTCTTGTGCCCCATCGCTGGATTGAGATCGGGCTCAGGTGAGCATTAGGGGGGCTGGGGGAGAGCTGCATACTGAAGAATGCATGAAGGTAAAAACCTTCAGCCTTTACAACCACTTTATTGCAATGTTTACTTCCTTCCCTTTTGATTGCCCCAATCTTCATTTACCCATGGAAGCAAGGAGAGAAGGCCAGAGAAGGTAGCTCACATGATCCCAACAACTGAACATATTGATTGTTGCTTTTTGCTCCCAAGAGCAGTATGCAGTGGCAGGAGAGGCAAGGAGACATTTAGATGACAATTTAGCGTGTGCAATGGCAAAATGTGAATAGTCAAGCTGCCCATAGATGGAGTGAAATTTGGCTGGTTCAGTAGGGACCAGACTGAATTTTGATCCATCTATGGCACACTTAACAGCAGTTGATGTAACGATCAACTTCTGTCAGAGGAATGCTGGAAATTTTTAATTTGATCAGTGCTGTTCAGTGTATTCTGACAAGGGAGAAGTCTACGCTGTCAGATTACAATAGCACAGAGTGGAGGATGCCGACATCCACCTTACTTCTGTGGAAGGGGGAATCCATTCTTTCCCCCCCCCCCCCTAGAACAGCCTGCTGGCTGATCAAAACATGGACCCATCTATGAGTAGCTTTAGAACCTCTGCCAAGGTTTTATTGCTGTCTGTGTCCCCGCTAAAAAGATTCTCCCTTTTTGTTTGTCCTGGTGATCATTGTTACTGAGACAGAAAGTAAGAGTATATCCAAAATTGTCACAAGAACAAGAGGTGAGGGTAAGTCTTTCAGTGAACACGACTGTATGAAGGGGGTGCTCTTCTCTTTAGGGACAGAAAGGGAAATCTCAGATGGATACGGAGGCCAAAAAAAAAAAAAAAAAAAAAAAAAAAAAAAAACAAACACTTGTCAGGGTGTTTTAATCCTTGCTTAATCCAAAACAAAAAAAAGTTTTGGCACTACTCACCCCAGTTATCCTCTTGATCTGTAGGAAGAAACTGGAACACATTGAGAACTCACAGGAACGACAGACCACTTGCTTTGTGTTTATGCAGCACAACCCTCTTTGGGATTGCTGATGAATTTGGGTCACCCTATAGTTTGGCACAGCCAGTCATTCAGCATTTTCCACACAAAGCTTCATCCAGAGACAGAAATCAGTCCTTGAGCATTTATTTTGTTATTTTACTGATGGGATTGGAACTTGGATAGGGTAAGGGGGGGTATAGGATGCCCAAGGGAACCCATATCTGAGGACAACTTCCTGAACTATTCACAAACTTCTCGCCTCTGATGCAGCCTCTGTTGTGCTAGCCAGCAGCACCTAGTTGTACCACCCCAGACCCTAGATGAACTCCTCTTCACCCAGCAATCAGGAGACTCTTCCTGAGCAGGGGACCTGGCTCCTGTTCCTTTAAATGAGGTACAGTCACTAGTAGGGGCTAATCTGGTTTCCCACCATAGCGCTGGTGGGAAATCCTCCTCTCCAGCTCCAGGCAGGTCCCATTTCACTAGGCTTCCTGGCAGCCTTCCTCCTTCAGCCTCACCCCTCTCCCTCCACCTGACTCCTGCTACTAAGCAGGCAGTTACACTTTTAAGGGAGTCCAGCCAATCCCCAATAGAAGGCATGGCAAGGGGCTCGAAGTCCCTCGAGTGCAGCCAGCCACTCCTCAGATCCACCACTGCCTTCAGGGCCCTCCTCCAAAAGCCTCAGAGCAGTGGGAAATTCCAGAGGGGCTAGCCTGCAGAGTCTCTCAGCCCTGATCACAATTTGACCCCTCTGGTTATCAAAACTGAGCTGCTAACCAGCTCATGACTAACCATTAGGGTCTAGCTCCCTCTAGCTGCACGAAGAGGGTGCTACATTTACATTAAATAATAAAAGGCTGGAAGGCTGCTAAGACACAGCTGGGAGGGGGAACAAGGGGTGAAGCTGTTGACGAGTCACTTTTAAAGGGGTAGCAGAGTGAACTGAGCTGCTAAAAGAACCATTTGATCAACTGCAGTACCGTACTTCTGCTTTCTGCTGTGAAATTTGAAGATGAACGGTTGCACAGTGCGTGCAGCTAAACCTAATTTTTAAAGTCCATTTGCCGCTTGTTATCAATATATAAATACCTGAGTAGGCTGGTCAGGTTCAATTAACATCAGTTTACATGCATTTGCCACAAATCAATATGACTAACACATTACATGTTTGCTTGCAATATCTTTATGTTGTATATGCAAGCAAACATGTCCTAAAGTATGAAACAAAACCTTTTTTGTTTTTAGATAGCACAAATGGAGAATTATTCTAATCCCTGTCCATTCTGTGCTTTTTTTTTTACTCTGTTAAGGAGATTTGCCCTCTCTATATTTTGTTAGCAGGAGTGAAAGCGAAACCCACATTTTGGGTTATCACCAGAACAGTAATAGAGGGGAAAGTTTCCAATGAAGACAAGTTCTGATGACATCCCGGGTTTCCCTCACTCTGAATTTCCCCTCACTTCCTGTTTTGGCTATGGGACAGGAAATGAGAAATCTACCCAATAGTTTATATCCTTACTCTAAACAAGATGTGGGGAAAAAAAAGATGGGAAAAAAAAAAAAAAAAAAAACTTGTCTTTAGTTTACTTGAACCTGCTTTAATGTGAGTATTACAACGTTGAATGTTTAAGAAAAAAAAAATAAATAATGAGGCTTTAGTGTCAAAAATTCTAAAAAAACATTGTTTTATGTGTGTTAATGTTCCACCTGCTCCACTTCTCTTCACCAGCAGCCACAGTATGTGCTACATTGCAAGAGGTAAACAAGAAAACAGCCTATCAATTTAAAATAATGAAAATAGTGTAAGTGAGGGACAATTCACTATATGAACATTCCCCAGTACTCTAGCATTTGAGGTAGCAAAAGAGGCCCAGTTTAAACCACAATCACAGAGGTACCTGAATGGGTGTGTATACCGGATTTTTACATGGACACAATATAGAAATCATGTTAAGAAAACATTTTTGAATTAGGTGTCTTTTAGTTTTCAGCACTGACTTATGCTAGGTTTACACTTGTGCGTTTTCCAGTGCATTTCCGGGGTTTGCAAAAAACACACAAGTCCATTTAACATTATTTCCTATGGTTCACATTCACATCTGTGTGATTTAGCCAGTGTGTTTTTGGAAGGGTCAGGGACTTTTTCCCTGCAACAGTTTGTTTTTGATGCTTTAGAACATTCAACCAAAAACACAGGTATTGCAAAAACAAACTTCCCCAAAAACATAAAATGCATCAAAAACGTGTATTCAGAAATGCACTGCAAAACATGCCAGAAAAATGAATAAAGCGCAACACGCATAGGTGTGTGAACCATAGGGGGTAAAGAACACCAGAGTGGAGATGTACCTGAAGACTTATTATTCAGGAATCCTTCCATGAAGATCTCAGCTACCCAGGCCTGAAGTTCAGGGTCTTCCTTGACCATCACATCACTTGTATAATAGTAATTAATGATGTTGGACACAAAGCTAAAAAAAAAAAAAAAAAAAAAAAAGTTTTTATCATGTTTAAACAGATGAATGCAGAATTTTTTAAAGAAAAATTCTGCAGCATCACTTTTTTTTTTATTACACGCAGTGCAAGTACCTGATTTTGAGCTAGTTGCAGCCCTTAAATGTCATTGTACAGCAGAGCTTAGACTGAGGTTAGGAGAGGCAGCATAAGGAGCCAGTTATTTGTACCACAAGGCCCATGCGTTATAGAACATACTAATAGTAAAGATAATGACAGAAAGAGGAGTGCAAAGTGACAGGTGAGCTCATCAGTCTGCTGCTTTTCTGTTCAACGTCCAGTCATAAGCTGGGACAAGACTTAACTGAAGCAAAAAAAGTCAGTTTTCTGTCCTGCCAGACAGGACTGCAGTGGGACAAAGCTATGTAAACTTCAGGACTGGATGGACAAAAATACAGTGCCATTTAACCACTTCATGTCCAGACACTTACACCCTTCCTGTCCAGGCCAATTTTCAGCTTTCAGCACTGTCACACTTTGAATGACAATTGCGCAGTCATGCAACACTGTACCCATATGAATTTTTTGCATTGTTTTGAGACAGATACTTTATTTTGGTGGCATTTATTCACCACTGGGATTTTTTATTTTAACATTTTGCAAATAAATCATTTCTTCATAACTCTTGGCCAAAATGTATTCAGTTATCTTTAGTCAAAAAAAAAAAAAAAAATAATGATAATTAGTTTAAAGTTTTTGAAAAATTATAAGTTTTGGTGTTAATTTTTTTTATATTTTTTTTTTTTTAACATACTGTCACCCTAGCACTGCTTGCTTTTACACCCATAAAGGCTGTAAAAGCAATAATTTCTCATCTGGCTGCATTCTTGCAACCATTGAGCAATACTGTGTGAGCTGTGATTGGTCACAGCTTGTCACATGGTACAAGGCTGTTGTGAATAGCCTTGTACCATGTGATCTCTGATCATTCACAGATTTCACACGAAGTAAGCAATGTCAGAAGTGACATCTTGCTTACTCCTATTCATGTGATCACTGGCCAGTCAGTGATCACTTGATTGGGACCTCACACAGAGGTCCCATACAGCGATAGGTGTTCCCAGGGAGCAGCACAGTCCAAAATGGCGGGTGCTGTTTATGAACGGCAACCCGCCCCTGCACTGCCACCGTCCGGCCTTTTATATACATGGGCCGGACGGGAAGTGGTTAAAACCGCTCCCATATAAGCATTTCATTTATGTATTTAGCGGTTTACCTAAAGTTTCGCTTAGACACCCCCATGTTTATTTTGTCTCTCTGAATATGGAAGATCTTTACCTTTCCACAGCTTCCCAGATCTTCATGCCATCATCCCTGTACAGGTAATTTGGAACGTGCTCCATTGCTCTGCCATTTATATCATCAGGGAGACAAAGGCTGCTATAGGTCACCTCAGCCATTGCTTTCTTCAGAATTACAGGGACTCCTCCATTCCCAGTCACAGAGGCCTTGAGAGAGAATGCAGAAAAACAAATACATGTAAAAATATTGCCAAGTAAACGAGAAGTATGGTCAAAGTTCTTTTGGCCATAATTCTCTTCTAGGTCAAAGGAGTGCACTAAGGTCTGCCAACTGACATCACGGAGCCTGTCCAGGCTTTGCAGCAATTCCGACAATGTTGGGATCCCTCAGATGCCAACCTCTGAGCGCACTGCTGAGAGCCTGAGCCAGCCGTTCCCAACCCCTGCACAGTCTGGCACTTCTGTGAGCGCTGGAGGGGCAGAACAGAAAGCCAGTGACCGACAGTCATTGGAGACCGATCAGTGAATACACATACAGTACCACAAAACCCCATTGAAATAATGTTTAGTAACCAGTGCTATATCAGAGAAAAACAGGCACAAGCCAGATAGCAAAAGTAACTCAATAACTCGGTAATCAGGCAAGCATAAAATGGTTTGAACATAGTATTGACAGTAACTGGCATGTAAGATTATAAATGTACAATAGGAGGCAAAGTTTGGAATTTGGCGTCCAGATCAGCATAAACAATAATACCACCTGAAGTGCAACAGTGAGCAGAAAGATCTGATCTATAAACTGCTAAGGCTATACTGTCAAGGTGCACTGATGGTGGCTATGCTAGTGTAGCACTATTTCCCCTTAGGGGCTGCTGAAGATCTGGGTACTCCATAGTCTTGCACGGCCAGGCAACAAGCATGTTCCACAGATTTGCATTCAAGATACAGTAAAAAACAGTCCTTGAGCTGGTTTTGGTTTTTTTTGGGATTTTATTAAGGGGTTAATAACTTGGATGCCCAAGGGAACTGCAAACTGAGGATAAACTCCTTAGCAACTATATTATTAGTATTATACAGGATTTATATATAGCGCCAACAGTTTGCGCAGCGCTTTACAATATAAGGGGGACAGTACAATTACAATACATTTCAGTACAGAAGGCATATGAGGGCCCTGCTTGGGGAGCTTACAATCTAAAAGGAAGGGAGGTGATACAAAAGGTGATGGCTGCGGGGGACGATCTGGTGGAGGTGATTCATGTACAGTTCTTAGGTGGAGGTAGGGTAGGCTTCCCTGAAGAAGTGAGTTTTCAAAGATCGCCTAAAGGCAGACAGGGTGTGGGCTGACCGGACATACTGTGGTAGGGAGTATCAGAGGATGGGAGAGGCTCTGGAGAAGTCCTGGAGGCGAGAGCATGGGAGGAGGTGATAAGGGAGCTAGAGAGGAAGTTATATTCGGAGGAGCGGAGTGGGCGATATCTGTGGATGAGGTTGGCGATGTAGCTAGGGGCAGTGTTGTGGATGGCTTTGTAAGCTATGGCTAGTATTTTGAATTTTATACGCTGGGTTAGTGGAAGCTAGTGAAGGGATTGGCAGAGAGGCAGCAGTCCCTGATCTGTTGGTAAGGTGTATGAGTCTAGCAGCAGCATCATAATAGACTGAAGGGGGGATAGCTTGTGTAACGGTAGACCAGTGAGGAGGGAGTTGCAGTAATCAAGGTGGGATAAAACCAAGGAGTGGATAAGTTGTTTTGTGGTGTCATTGGTCAGAAAGGGGCAGATTTTGAAAATGTTGGAGGTTGATGCGGCAGGATTTAGCCAGTGATTGGATGTGGGGGCCCAAAGGAGAGGTCAGAGTCTAGGATTACGCCTAGCACCCTGGCATGAGGGGAAGGACCAATGGTTGTGATGTTGAGCTTAATGGTAAAGTCGTGAGTGAGTGGGGGATCGGGGGGGGAGGAAATATTACAAGCTCGGTTTTGGAAAGATTGAGTTTAAGGTAGTGGTGTGACATCCATGCTATGTCGCTTAGTAGATTTGTGCTACGCAAGGACAGAGGGGGGTGAGCTGGGGAGTGGAGAGATAGATCTGGGTGTCATCAGCATAGAGGTGGTATTGGAAGCCATGGGAGGTTATCAGTTGGCCCAGGAAGGAGGTGTAGAGAGCGAAAAGGAGAGGCCCAAGGACAGAACCTACCATTAAGGGTAGAAAAGAGTTGACGAGGATAGGATGAGAGGGTCTTTGAGAGAGTGTTGTAGTAAGTTTGCTTAGCAGCATGGAGGCTGGAGTTGTATTTGAGAAGAGCGGATTTGTAGAGGGTAAAGTCTTTCAGGGATTTAGTTTTATGCCATGCTCGCTCAAGAGTGCGGCTGTCTCTCTTGAGACTTCTGGTGTCATCCGTTTGCCAAGGTTGTGACAGACAAGGCCTGGTTCTACTTGGAGAGTGGAGCAAGAGCATCCAGAGAGGATGATCGATAGTTGTAGGCAGATGTGGCCAGTTCTGGGTGTGCAATTTTATCATAGAAGGGCTCAATAGCAGAGTGAAGGTCAGGGCTGAGGTGGTGGAGGTTTCTACAGGTAACGTTTGCTGGTTAGAGGCATGGGAGGTAGGAGGCAGGGAGAGTGAAGCTGATAAAGTTGTAATCAGAGAGAGGAAAGGGGATTTAGAGGTTACAGGGAGTGCACAGGTGGGAGAACACAAGGTCGAGGGTGTTGCCATTGGAGTGGGTGGTGGATTGCGTCCATTGTTTTAGGTTAAAAGTGGAAGTTAGGTTGAGTAGTTGAGAGGTGGCAGAGGTGTGAACATTGACTGGGATGGTAAAGTCACTGAGGATGATGGCAGGCACCTCAGAGGAGAGAAAGTACAGTAGCCATGCTGAAGTGTCATCAAGTAAGCCTGAAACTGGGCCCAGGGGTTGGTTGATGACTGCGATCCTCAGACAAAAACAGGAGAAAAGAGACAATATAGTGCACTTCAAAAAGAGCAGAGGGACAGAGACAGAGGGGCAGGAAGAATCTGGAACGTACTTTGTGGGGAAAGAAGAAGTCTGGACTCACTTGCCCAGACCCAGTGGATGAAAAGGGGGTGGAGTCAGAGGAGGCCACCATGGGAGAGTGAGAGGAGACAGTCGGAATCCTGGAGCCAGGTTTCAGTGATAGCAAGTGGGTTGAAAGCGTGGGAGAGGAAGAGGTCATTGATAGTAGAAAGTTTGTTAGAGGCTGAGAGGGCATTCCAGAGGGCACAAAAGATGGAGGGGCCAGCACGTGGAAGCAGGGAAATTGAGATGAGTGAGGGTTGGTTGCGGCTGCGGCCAGAAAGGGGAGGCTGCTGCTTCTGTGGGTTGGAGTTTGATGGTGCAGGGCCAGGGTTTGGGGCGATGTCCCTGGAAGTTAGTAGTAATAGGAGGGTGAGGGAGGTGAGGTGGGAGGGGGATTTATATGAGGGCAAATGCCACAGTGATTTTGTAGTGGTGATATTGTGTGGCCCAAGAAAGCAGGAGATAAGCGCAATGATATTGAGAGAGCAGAAGTGAAGGGTGAGGGTGAAATGTACAGGTTGTGGGGTGGGGAGGGGGTAAAAAAAAAAAAAAAAAAAAAAAAAAAAAAAAAAAAAAAAAGCTTGAGAAGAGAGGGCATTATAGCAACAAAGTTAGCAAGAGCATGCTGGAGAGAGGAATATAACAAAGGAAGGCTGATGGAAAGAGGGAAGAGCACTTGCAGACTACTTTGGGTGGAGCACGAATGTTTGTACTTGCCTTAGTCAAAGTGCTGTGTTTAAAGTGCCATGCACTTAGCGCCGTAGTGACACTTTGCGCAGGGAATGCCAGCCTGTTCCCTCACAAGCTGTCCCAAGGACTGACTAAATACAAATCCTTAGAAGGGTTTCATTGAGAACTCTCCAGGCTTTCCCAGTGTACCACCCCAAACCCCAGATCTTCTCTATACAGCTGTCTGGAGGAATTCCTGGCAAGGGGATCCAGTGCCTGGCACTTTAAGATGAAACAGTCCTGGGTAAGGAGCGAATCAGGTTTCCCACCAGCATGCTCTTTCCCCCTTAACTGGCCCAGGGGGTGTAGGATTACTCAGTCTCTTTCCTGTGAGCTGGTGTAGGCAAGTAGCTGCCTTCTGCTGGGCTGGCTCCTTTCCTGGCTCCACAGGTGGTACTCACTCTGGGGGCCAGTGAGGCTGAGCAATCCTCCTGTCCAAGTTCCAGCCTGTAGGTAGGCCCATTCCCCCTGGTTCCCCTTTCTAGGCTCCTGCATCTCAGCCTTCCTCACATCTTTCACCCGAACTCTCCTGGCCTCTGAGCAGGCTCAGTCATACTTATGGGCCAATAGTATTATAAAGTGAAAAAAATGCTGCACTACATGAAAAAAAAATTGCACACTATATATCAAAAGCAAAGTGAAAAAAAAATCTATATCTATCTAGGAATAAAAACAAAAAGGAATTAAAAATAGTATGAAATCGACCAAAGTCATTCCAAAACGCAAGTCCAATCAATAGTGTTCTTCTGTGAACCCTCCTTTTGGATAATGAAAAGTATGTGCAGCTGTCACAAATTCCCATGCAAGAACCATCCTCCACCATAGATCTGCTCACCTCATGCAGTGTGACCTCGCATTCTACAATGTTATTGTCTAACTGCATTTTGGTCCCATTTGGACTCCGATCAGCTTGCTGAATGAGGACTCCAAAGTATGCTCCCTCCTGATAAACCTCTTGGTGTCAGCCGTATTCCTCATTAAAAATGTATGCATCAATTAAACATAAGAAATGCACTCACGTTCAGTAGGTGTATATACTATAACCGCTGTCACGATGAATGGGAACATCGTGACGTCATCCATGGGGATGTTTCCATTTATCGGGACAGCGGTTATAGTACTCTGGAAACGGCTCTAGGAACAGCATTATAGCAGGCAATTGCATTTACTTAGTGGGCCCATGCTTTGCCTTGCATTACATTACATATGGTGTCAGTTTTGAGCCTGTACAGGATTCTGCTGCTGAGATACTGCCATCTTGTGCCTAATCAGTACATCACTGGATGTTCATCATACCTGGTGCATTACATACATAGAAAAGTGCCTACTACACATGTAACTATTTTGTTGTATTTTTGCCCAGGTTACCTATTGTGGTGTCATGTATGACTTCCTCTGCAGGTATTTCATATCCTGTGTTCTGGTGTATATACACCATATT